AGTGTGAGCGCCGGCATATACAGCAGCAGGCAGCAATACGGCGGCGTTAATCTCCGGCAGAAACCTTTTTGCTATCGCCGTCGTCGGGTTCCATTTTTTTGTTTCACTTTGAAAGTCGACAGGAGTCGTGAAAACCGTTCGTTCGTGTTGTCGCGATTGTCTCGGCACGTCTCTGCAGAGGCAGCCCGCACGGCCTCAACACTGCGACATCGAAAGGCGTATGATATAATTTTTATCATCATTATATGCAGCCGCCGCACGCTTTCTTTTGTGATTGACCCATTTTTGCATCGCGGCGGTCCTACGTCACAATATAATATTATTATGTTGAAGTGGAGTGCATGTATACGTCATATTGTAGTAGGTACATTATAATTCGCTTCCCCGTCCTTTGTCTGCAAAGGTCTTTTCTTTTTAAAATCCACAACGTTTTGATAATAATAATTGGTAGCTTTATCCAGGGCGGTACATCGTTGTGTGATATGATATTATTATGTATAGTGTTTTACCGCGTTACCCGCATCATGCTATACATAATACGCGATACACACACACGTCACCTGTTAATGCCTCTCTGTGATTTTCCATTTTTTATAACTGTAATACTCCCTCCCTCCCTCCGAACTTTTTTAAATGGCTTCCCCCGGTTTTTCTTTTTGATTTCGTATTCTTCCGCAGTAACACAGAATCTCTACTTGAAAATGCCGATTACCATTACCTCCAATATATTATAATAGGATAATATTTTTATGATTTACGTTTATCTTGCCTCCGGGTGATATCGTATATTATTTAATATTTTAAACGCACCGATCTGAAAAGAAAAGAAAAGAAAATATATATAAACTGTGCTAAATATTAAATATTTCGTGATGTAATGTAATTATCATTTAAAATATATATGCGTGTCTACTCCTACGGGGAATTATGCTGATAGAGGTCGTGATGATTATGGTAATATAATACAAAATAACACTGTCCGCGAAACGTTCGCGCGTCAACGCCAAAAACGAAACAAAAAATACCTTGAAAATTAGATGTTCGAAACGGATTACGCTTGGTGAATAGGTAATAGGTAGTGGGGTAAGTAGGTATACATAATTTAGAAATTCGGCGATCGTTTCTAGTATACCTATACATTATACGTAGGTGCCTATTGGATAATATATATTAGACAACGATCGCGGGCTGCAGATCGATAAATCAAATTCGAGTTTATTATAAAGGTAGCTTTCTGCGGGATGTACCTATAAACGCCGGTCGTCGTGACCCAGGCGGACGCTCGCGCGCGCGGCAGGTAGAATATAAATATAATAATAATAATGTAATAATAACAGTAGAAAAAAAAACAACTATAGCCTATTGTTTTCGTGCAGTTTTTTTTCTTTTCGGTTAACGATTATGCATTAGAACATAAGGGCGAGAACACGCCCACCCGACGTCGTTCTATACCTATATGGTATATTATAATATGTATACACACACACGCTCACTCGCACACACATTATGGATGCGTGGTAACATGGATGTGTAGAGAACACCGTGAGAGAGTTATAATTGCTGTCCCGCGCGCGCGCACACAAGAATGTTGTCGGGTTATTTATGCATTTCATATTAGGTATAAGAAAAAAAAATATATAATTCCAAATAGTAATCATAATCGTTTTGACGAGCGGTATAACATTATGTTGATCTTTACACCAACTCATATAATATACATAATAATCTAGGTATAATGGTCGGTCAAGCGAACTTAGTTCTTAAGTTTAATCGAATTTTGAGCATTTTTCCGTATACACGCTTCTGCGAAATGATTTGAAGTTTAGTTTGTGAAAACAAGAGAACAATGTATTATTCCAAAAGAATAAATTATGAGAAATGTGAATGCTGTATAGTGGTTACAGCGACAATGCTCGAGCATAAATATATAACTTACTAATAAATTCAAAAATGTTTTCCGCTCTCAATCTAAATTGTATTTTTTCTGAGGTTTCTCAGTGTTTTTTTTTCATGGATATATTATCGTTTTGGCAAAAAAAAAAATATATCATTGGTACTGATTTTGTAGGACCTTGCGTCGTTGTGACTATAATCAAACAATAATAATTCTCATTGACAACGGTCCCATGAGCGGCATACCTATATTAATATTTAATACACGTGTTATAATTGTTGTTTATTAAAAAACGAGTTTTATAGTACACGTCTTATTGCAACGTGTGTATTTTTTTGTACGCCTGTCCGAACTGGAAACTTAAATACTGTCGGTAAAATATATTCGCGAGTTGCGACTAGCAGAGAGTTCAAACACTTCAAACACGTTTAGGACGCGTCAAGTGGTTTTGCAAAATAATAAATCGTATCCGTCACACGGTAAGTTTTATTGTGCCATGCAATAATTTAATGCACAATTACTGTAAGTACCAATACTTTATTTTCCATTCGTCTATATCACCTATAATAATAATCAATAATAATATCCAAACTGCAGTTATTATGTATATTATAATTACTAATAATTGTTGTAATTTAGAACTTCATCAGGGACTACGCAGTTACATAATATACATTGTATAAATAAATCAAAACAATGATGAGTACCACTTTACAGTTTACATCAATCTATAACAACTTCAGTCATACGTAGATATAATATATGACCTGGGCGTTTCTCGGGTGTTTAGAGCTCAGAGCTCCTTTAAAGTTTAAAGTAATTCAGGGAGTGTTTTCATAGAAAAAGGTCTGCAGGGATCACGCTGCGTTGATGTAAGCCGTGTATTATTTTTCACTATAAAACCGTCTGGATAAAAAGTAGGTATCCGAATATAAGTATGTTTCTCTGTTAACAATATTATTTTAGTACAAAATATCTAACAAAATACACGATGACGTGTGTGAAATTGTGATGTTAAATAAATTAATGATAGGTTTTAAACTTAAGTACCTACAATTGTTGAGTATATATTGTATACAATGTAATATAAAATAATACAAACCATAAAATGTTACGTATTGTTAGTGTATAAATATTATAACTTATAAACGTACGGATTTTATAGTTGAAGGTTATTTTCTCGTACTATAATTATTGTATTCGAGGTAGTATTCAAATACATATTTTGAGGGTTTTTGGGTTGGCAGGTATATATATTATATACTTCTAAAAAATACGCTTTACGACACTATTTCACGTAGGCATACCTACTGCAGTGAGCTGGCACGCCCTGATACAGCGCGGGTGTGCGCACACGCCCATACCACAGTATATTAATTACACATATATAGGTACATGAGTATATTTTGTACTTGAATAGGTTACTCGGTGGCATTGTTTTTACAAATTTATTGTTCGTCTACCCGTGTGTTTACCGAACGAAGATCACCGAACACGGTGGTGAGTATGTAGTGAAATGTTGAAAAGCCTTTCGTGTTGCCATGCACTATGTTTGTACATTATTGCACATTAGACAATCATTAGGTATAGGTAATATCTTTTGTTGCACAAACAATCGGATTAACCACAGACTCGTCGTACTATTTGTTCTTATAGTAAATTATTATATTAACGTGTATACGTATAAGATAAACAGTACACGATTTCGTGGACATAATAATTATAGTAATAATTTTAATTGTATTTATTTATTCAAAAAGAATTTCCAGTAAGAGTCATCACATTTAGTACTGATTTCGTACGAAATATAAATTGATATGTATACAATCCAGTTCACAACATGCAAATATGCAGTTGGTACCTTTACTCTTTAGGTATATGTAGATCATACTTCATGGGTGATATGTACTTCATAGGCGTAGCCGATTGTTTTTTTCTAAACAACTCAACTTAGGTTTTAAAAATGTAGAGTAAATTTTCCCCCACTGGCCCACTTCCACACAAAAGTACAAAACTATAGTTTTTTAAATTTAAGCATAAAACTATTATAAAATTTGTATTACAATCCGCAATTAATCAGTAACAAAATTAAATAAATTATGTAACAGATAAAAACACAATACTACTGTACACAACGCTGTGAATTATATGAAAATTTTTAATTATTTCTTTTAAACCATACTCCTAGTATATTTATGGTTTTATATATTTTTAAACGTTATGATAAGTGATAACTAGAACCAAGGGCTTGAAACATAAATAGACTGTGGTTATGACGCTTTAGTGGGTAGTTGTTTATTTTGAGATGGTATTTTTATTATGCTCGCCATGAAATATACACTAGCAGACTTTTATAATAAATATAGTTTAAAAATCTCTGTTTTCGTTAATAATTGTATTCTTCCTTGTGAAGTATAATGAACTTTTTTATGCTTTCTTTTACAAACAATCATCCTATTCAGAAAATATGTATTTTCAATCACATTCACCTAAACGAATGTAAAGAAATAATTAAATTATTTGTTAAAAGAAAAGTAGGGAGAAAACACAAAGTAACTAAATACTAATATGGTTTTTTTTTATATCAATTATCAAATGTTGTAATTTCTATTATGACGTGGCGAAACCAATAGCGAAATCAAAGTGAGAAATCCTTAGTGTAGAAACTCATTATCTAGTGATACATTTTATTCGGCATTCACGTATATTGTAATAACATATTTTACAATAGTTATACTTAAGGAGCATAACAAAAAATATGGTTGTTTATTATAATGATCTCTCGACGCAAAGGACATTTCACATTTATGATTTGTTATATTTTTCACATACCTACTTTTAATAGCACCATGCTGAAAAAAGCAATGGCGGAATGCATTTTTTTAGACAACTTGCAACTGACGTATGTTCGAGTGTGCGTGTACTTCAAAAATAATTGGGAGGGATGGATGGCTGGTCACGTGGTGGCGGTTACTATGGTGAAATGCGTGGTGGTCGCGCTCGTAAAACAATTAAACAATCCATGGCGTCCGAGCCGTGAGATAAGAGACGTTATCACTTAAGGCTTACCAGCTGCAGCTATCAGTTTCTGTGGTGAACACTATAGAGTCGTGATTTGTCTACTCGATGGTATAATAATTATATTATATTATACATCATTCGTCGTTGTCGCCGTCTCCGTTATCATCATTCATGTCTGTATAATATCCTGGTTGTGATACATCACTGTTCGAGACAGCATAATAGTAATAACACATTATAGTATACCACGGACTTTTGCTCGTGCTTGCGTTCTATGTAGGTACGTGCCTCAATCCATATTTAAACGCCATATTATTATCATTATTATTGTGTAGTCATATCACTCGCTTTTCAGCTGCCACCGTGTGGCTGTCTCGCAGACTTGGAATCGACTGCAAGTACCCAAGCACTCATCCGACGACGGGTAGGTAGTCATTAAAATATATAAATTACATAGTAACCGCTTGCCGCGATATTATGACTTACTCCGCCGAGACCGAAACGGCTGCCGCGGCCGCGGTGAACCTGCTCCGCGACAACGTCCGGTTGGCCGGAATGACAGGGGCCGGCGTCGGTGGCCCGTGGTACTATCCGCCGACCGTGGTCGACGAGGACGGCCGGCTGTGGGGCAGCTGCGCCGACCACATGGAACGGGTGCTGGATAACCGGACGGCCGTCCGGCACTACTACCGGTCGCTACAGCCGGACGCGCCGGCGCCGCCTCTGCTGAGCAGGGCCGACCACGTGGCCGTCATCGAGACGTTCGCGGCCGACCTGCTGGCGTACTACCGGCCACTGCTGGCCGTCGTCGACCCTCTCCGTAGCGACCTGGGAGCGCAGACCGTCGTCCTGCTAGCCGAGGCCAACGTCCTGTACAACATCGTGTTAGCCATGCGGCCGTGAGCCAGACGTTCGTGCGATCGAAGTCCACCGATCGGCGAAAACGAACACCGGCAGTCTTGTGAATCATTATAATATTTTTTTTCGTCAATAAAATCTTCAAAAAACGTGACGTTGTAACCGTCTCTCTGTCGACATCGTGTTTTTGGCTTTTTGAGCAGGTTACACCCAATACAAATATATACCTATAGCCCAAATATAAAAAAATATAATAATATTAGGTATTTATTTATTTTAAATATACATTCAGAAGCACAAAGTTTTAATAATATTAGGTTCTTCAAAGTAACTTTTTAGTACATTAATACAATAATTAAAATATACTAGGTATTACATATCAGGTATAATTATAACTAATTTTAATAGTATGCAAATGAGTTAATGAAAATAATTAACTATTGGAATTACAGAATAGAAAATCGTTATAATATATAATATCAGTATAATGTATAATATTACTATATTAAATTATTCGGTGTTAACTGTTAACAACTGTCGATAAAATATAACTCATACAATAATGCATCATGTTAATATGAAGAAAATCCGTATAGGCATTATTACAATAACTAATATGTTTATGTATAAGTATACAATATAGTATGGTATATAAAATAGTTTAAATAATAGATTACAGGAGTTTTGGTCGTTTAGTTACTAAGGAGTTTTGTTGTCAACAATTAGGTACAGACTATTTGCAATTCAGCGTGTAAATAGTAATTAATTATTAATATACAGTACTTAAATAGTAAATTCTAGTTGGTAATAATTGGTAAGTGGTAACTATATGATATAGTCAATAAAACATAAAAAATATGCAGCGTTTATAACAACAAAGTTTTCTTATTGACCTAAAAATAATAAGTAATAATTCTTTACAAAATGTTGTCGAGATGTTTGTTCTTAACTACGGTTATCTAGGGTAAATAACTGTGATCTTAACACTCAAATTACAACATTTAAAAATATGATTTTAATTCCTAAAAGTTTAAATTTAATATTGTAAAAAATAATATTAATATGGCTCAATTAAAAAGAAGAATTTTTTTTTTTCATCTTTATTCCTGGTCACACATAATTGTGACTATGCAACTTTCAAATTTTCAAATTAAAATACTGAATACTAATTACAGTAAAATTGAAGCAAATTGTCTTCTCCAAAACTCGGTACGACACTACGACACACACATATAATATCCTATAAAATATATTCATCTCTCCACTTTCAGAATCTATAAAATTATATTGTTCTATGCTGTTGAGTACAAATGGTTAGACAAATACACCAGGCGTCTAATAATTGTAGAAACTAGAAAGCAATAAAATGTGCAATAAGAATGTCTATCAATAGATTAAAACCTTTGATTCATTATAAGAATGTCACGGACCTTGCAGAAAAATAAAATATATTTTGATTAGCCGGAAGATCTGACAGTGGCGGACACTTGACAAATTCGGCTTAAATGCGTAAGCGTAAAATGAAAAACCTGTCAATTACAATAATTAATAGAGGATGCCCAATAACCTAATGATATAGGTCAGCGGTTCTCCCAACCAGCGGGGGGTGGGGATTCCCTCTAGGGGGGGACTTTAGAGTCTGCTGGGGAGGGGGGGATATAGTGATGACGGAATTACTAAAATAATTATGTTATTTTATTATGTGTAAAATTGAAAACACTATTAGTTTTCAGATTATCGGGCATCGATAACAATTATATATTAGGTATAACGATAGAGTCGATAGACCGAGATGTTATTTATACTTTAAGTTAATATTTTTATTTATATATTCAATATTTTTTTCTTATACTTAATATTATTACTTCATAAGTAGATTTATAATGCATTTTTAAAATGATGAAAATAATAAAAGTAAATAATTGTATATTTTTTTTTTTTTTTTAATTGATCCTGAGCCCGGCAACTGTGGCCATTAGCTATTTGTAGGTACTGTAGGTTTTTGTATTGATGGTTTGTAGGTTTTTGGAACGGTAGGGGGAACACGTGTGTGTTTGTTTTGGCAGAATTTCGAATGGGGCACCCGTAGGTTTCTGCCATGCCCCGGGGGTGGGGGATGGCGGCACTTGCTCTCCGGTCACCGCGACTTCTCCGGAGAAAAATGCCGCCCGGTGGCCGAGGATCGAACCGCGACCGGCTGCGTCGCAGCGGAATAGTCAGACCACTCGGTCACCTCGTCCCCCTAATTGTATATTGTATAATATATAGTTTTAATAATATGTAGTATTTTGTATGTTTTATTTGTACCGCTCACAAAAAAAAAAATCGCCCTAAACCCTAATTTAGGGGGGGGGGGCGTAAAATGAAAAAGGTTGGGTATCACTGATATAGGAAGGTACTTGTTAGAATTAAATTCGCAGTCTCCTCTCCCGTCCCTGATCGTCTCACAATAATATATTATCGTTATTTGCGGGTCGACGTAAACAACAGTCCACACAATGTCATATAATATTATAGGTACATGACATGTGTACAACAGTGTTAAACAATATAATATAAAATATTATAGAGGGGTGTCACGGTTTCGTCTGCGTGGAAAAACGAAAAAACTGCCGTCTCGATGAAACGGAAACACGTGTCGGGAATATGTGTGCGCGTGTTAATTAACGCAATTAATAACATTACAAGAGGCGCCTCCTATAGTCCTATACGTACGCAATAATAATAATAATAATAATAATAATATAATATTATACACGCCAGGACTGCCGTTGCGTGGGATTTCACGGGAAATGTGCGCATATTTTGTCTCCTGGAACGCGGCGGCGGTGGTTTTAACGCCGTGTAAACGACACGTGACCACCGCGCCGCTCGCGTTCGCGTGATATAATATTATATGTGTCAGTGTGTACGTGTGTGCGTTACCGCATTACCGCAAACGCGGTTGACAAACGGCTCATGTCAACGCCGTCTGGTATCCCTCGGTGTTCGTATTATTATGTTTATACGCACATCATTACGACCGCGCACCGAAAAACGGATTTTCGGCCACGGGCCATTTCTTACGGTCCGTCAAAACTTTGACGTCCCTCGTAGATGTAGGCTGAGTCGAGTAGAGGCAGAGGGGGTGAGAGGGAGAGAACGACGAAGTTCGTATATATAATATTACAATATATGACGATGACGTGGTCCATACATATATATATACCAGCGGTACAGGAAATCGTAATTAGTACTCGTCGAGCGGTCTGACACGCGTCGTTTGAGCGCAAGTTTCCACCGAAAAATACTCCGAGACGTCTGCGGGACACTGCACTGTATGGATGCCTGGGAACCGGGAATCCGTACGTCATGATATAAGACTGCCAAAAAAACGTTTTTAAAATGTTGAAATTTTCAAAAACCCAAAATAGTTTTGTGTTTGACGAGGTCCACGGTGATTTGTATCCTGTGTACCTATATGGGACGATATCTGTGTACAGCGTCGATGTAGCAGTGGTCGAATCGCGGTGTTTGTGTCCTATGAGGGACTGCAGCGGAGCGTGCAGACTGATATTTGTTTTGAGGATATTTTAGTCTTTTATCCACAAAGTTCGAAAATTCAGAGTTTTTCTAAACTTGTTCAGTATATCAATTATCACTTATGATTTGCCGGATTATGTGGTAAACGGTGTAGTTAAAAGTAATTTCCCTTCCAACACATTTTGCGCAGTACTGACTACTGAACACCTACCTACTTTTACTGAATAACATTAAAGTGTTGTGTTTCACTACAATAAATTTAAGTCTAAATATTTAATACGTAAATGGTGAATCTGACATGATCAAAAATAACAAACCCGAATTCCGACAACGGATAGATCTTTGAACAAAATCATAAGTAATATTTTGTTATTTGATACAATAAATTTCAGTTTTGCTTCAGTTTTCTTCATATGAAATTGATAATCATTTTAATGTATTACAACTAGCTGACCCCGCAAACGTATTGTATTGCTCGTAAATGATTTTCTGAGGCACCTAACGAAAACAAAAATCAATTAGTGCATCAACTTCACCTAATATGATGTGGCTTCGATATATTACATATGTATCTAAACTTCTTAATCCGAAATAAAAAAATATAATAATATATACTTTTATTAAATAACTAAACTTGCAGAAACTTGTATAGTAATATGATATATTGACGAGATGTACCGATGATGATTTTTATTGAGCCAGCTGGTTAAATCATGACAAGTAACAATATATTAATATTACAATTAGTTACACTATGACTATAATACATATTTATAACCACTGTAATGGGTTAACCATAAATGTTGAGACGATTGGGTTACATGTAAATAAAACAAAACAAATGTCGGTCTTATAAAAAAACTAAGAACCAGCATAAAAAAAATGTTTTAAACATAACACAAGTAAAAATTAAGAAAATCTTCAAAATCTGTCTCTGTTATTTCTTTATTGTAATAGTAATATTGTTATACGGCAGTCAACAGTCAGCAGTACAACAGAGAAACCACTTGTTTTCTGTTTTTTTTCTAACCATGTTATTATTATTGTTGTTTCTTGAATTCAAATGACTCGGCCGAAGCATGGTATGCCGTATGCTCATGGTGACAGAACGGCCAGTTATCTGACAGGTTTTAAAAATGTTGTTGTGTACAACAAATAACAATATACATTTTAGCGGCATACATATAATATATTCAATTTATTAATTATAATATTCTGTATACAACCAAAACCGGTGGTCAGCTGAAATCAAAACTAATTTCAAACTTTTCATTAAACCACTAGTAGTTTGTAACGAAATTAACGTGTCGCTGGGAATATCTCACACATTATTTTAACTGTAGGTCTAATTTCGTTACAAAAATCATGGCCTTTAGAAAACTGACTAGTGCATATCAGTTCATGGTGGATATATTGAACCATATATTATAAAACAAATAAAAAATATTATGTACAATTTTAACGAGTAGGTATAGTGCACCAGTGTGCTATAAAACTAATTAAAAGAGATTTTTAGTGGTTTTTGAATTTTTTTTAGACCACGACAAATGGAAAGCTATTAGTCATATTATATATTATACATTCGAAAAAAACTTCTCTAGAATATCTGCATTCTATTCTGAGAATCGAATTAGAGCTATTGATTTTAAATTATTAATGATCATACGATTCATAGACGAACGTTTTCTGAAATCGAAATGCGATCAC